GGCTATTTTATCTAGCAATTATTTGTTAAATAAAATACCCCGAAAGAAACTCGATAAGACTCCTTTCGAGTTGTGGTATAATAGGAAACCTTCCTATAAATACCTGAAAGTGTGGGGGTGCCTTGCAAAAGTTTTAGCACCACCACCAAAGAAAATAAAGATTGGTCCAAAGACCGTTGATGGAATCTTTATTGGCTACAGTGGTAGCGCATATCGATTCTTAGTGTATAGGTTTGACAATGCAGAAATACATAAGAACACAATAATGGAATCGAGGAATGCAACATTCTTCGAAAATATATTTCCGTTAAAGTCGATGGAAGTAGCAACTTCGTCCAAACGTTCACATGATAAAATGTTGAACGATGGTTCCTCGGATCAGTCTAATACTGGTATAATTGATGAAACCAAAACTGAGACTGAACTAAGACGAAGTAAAAGGACACGGACTAAGAAGTCTTTTGGTAATGATTTTCTAACTTATTTGTTGGAATTTGAATCGGGGACTCTATCATTTCTGATAGAAACTGAACCCAATATTCTAACATGTTTATTAGAAAATGAACCACGAACTTATCGTGAAGCAGTCAGTGGAAAGAGGCAATTAAAAGTAAAGTTGATTCTATTATGCAGAATCACACTTGGGAGTTAGTGAATGTTGGCAAAAATATCATAGATTTTGATGATGATGTATTTAGAATGTAATAGGGACTTTAGGTCTCCCCCAATATTCAATGTAATTTTTCTTTTTAGAAATATTGTTAAAACCAAGTTCTTGAGATTTCCAATAAGGTTATGATATTTCTTTAAGCGTTTTGATGCCTGAAGACTTAATCAAATTCGGTGATATGGAAATTAGATATCTTGATCGGAAATGCTAGAGACAAGTAAGGATTTCTCAAGCAGATGAAAAACCTCTGATCCAGAAGACTACATAAGAACCGGATGTCTCGCTACAACCCGCTGAAGGCTAAGTCACCCAAATCGGAAGACTAGCACGGATCCCTTTCTCACCCGGAAGTCTGAGAATGACTCCTCCGGATTTGTCAGCTAAGAACCGGATGCCTCAAGGAAGACCGGAATTCTCAAAAAGCGGACAAGTAAAAAAAGACTTAGAAGATTATCTAAGTCTTGAATGAAGAAATTCTACCCATTGGTAAGGAAAAATCAATCTCTTGATTTTCAACGGCTAAATTGAAGGTAATTATGCTGATTCAAGAACAAATGACTCGAAGACAAAGTCTGAACCTCTAAGAATCGAAGAACCGGTCCAGAATTCCTAAACAAGCACTAGAAGACAAACAGAGTAAAGTTCTACAGTCCAGAATACTTGAACAGCAGCTAGAAGACGAACTCTATGGAAAAAGAAATCTCCCCTTTAACAAATGGGTGTGTCCAAACACCCATTCCAATGAGGAATCTTCAAATCACAATCTTCATTCAAAATTGAAGCCAGCAAATGCAACGGATAGTCTATTATGATTCAACGAATAGATTATCCAATCCAGCTATAAATAGCATCCTTGGAAGACTGGAGAAAATAATGAGATACAACAACACAACAAAGCAATCTCTAACAACAAAGATATCTCATTCACAGTTAGCCCAAAAAGCTTGATAAAGAGAGATTTCTAAACTCCTTATCTAGAAGCAAACTTTTCCCTTCCAAAGAGCTATAGTGTAAAGACTTGAAGGTTTCTTTGCCTCAAGCACCACACCACGTTGAAGGATATTACTTTTGATCAAACTTATTGATTAAAAGGGGGTAGGTCAACTCTCTTACAAGTTGATCTTGCAAGTCCTATTGTTCGGATCTTGCAGTTGTTGAAGAAGCTTGACCTTTGAAGGAACAACAAAGCCAGCACGAGTGCAGTAGCAACACTAGTCTTGTGAAGATATACCGTGCAGAAATTCACAAAAGTGTAATTGTTGGTTCATTATTCAACGACCAACTACATAGTGGATTTTGAGGACGTAGAAGGATTACCCCAATAAGTCTAAGTGGAAAGAAATATGTCCTGGTGGTAGTTGATGATTACTCAAGATACACGTGGACAATCTACCTCAACAGCAAGAAGGAGACTCAAGGGAAACTCACCAACTGCATGAAGCTGATTCAAAACCAAGCAAGTCAGACCATTCAGAAGATCAGATCTGATAAAGGCACGAAATTCCTGAATGAAATCATCATTCACTACTGTGAAGAAAACGGAATTCTTCATCAGACATCCGCAGCAAGGACACCTCAACAGAATGGTGTAGCTGAAAGAAGGAACAGAACCCTGAAGGAAGCAGTGAGAACCATGCTAGCAGAAGCTTCCTTACCAAAGAGGTTCTGGGCTGAAGCTGTTAACACAGCCTGCTATACTCAAAATAGGAGTATGATTTATAAAAGGCACAACAAAACTCCCTATGAACTGTGGAACGGGAG